GTGAGCAGGAAAGTCACCAAGAACAGGACATCCCACCAAAATTTATAAAAGGACGAGAGAAAAAATTTAACAGGGAGGCTGCCAAGAGATGAACGGCAACATTAAAGGAGCTACAGGAATCTCTGACATTACTCTCTACATGTGACAACAATCTCTCATATTCTTCACATGTCTGGGCTATGGGGTAGGGTGGCTAGACGGAAGACCTTTCTCACAAAGAACATCCAAGCTCAACTAAATAATTCCAAAAGGTATGTTGAGTGCAAAAAAAAAAAAAAAAAACACATCACCAAAAGAACACCATACCCACAGTGAAGCATGGTGGTGGCAGCATCATGCTTTAGAGCTGCTTTTCTTCAGCCAGAACTGGGGCTTTTATCAAGGTGGAGAGAATCATGAAAAGCTACAAATACCAGTCGATTTTAGTGCAAACCTTCAGGCGTCTTCTAGTAAGATAAAGATGAAAAGGAATTTCCCCTTTTAGCATGAGAATGACCCAAAGCACACATCCAAATCAAAGAGTGAGAGGATATTGCGAAGTCAAGACGTGCCACGCTGATAGACTCTTAGCCAAAAAGACTGAGTGGTGTAATATAATCAAAAGGTGCTTCAAAAATTTATTAATTTAATAAAAGGTGTGCGCACTTTTCTTCTCTAATATTTTTCCTGTTTCTCCCTAGAAAGTTTCTGATTGTTTTTCACTTAATTTTTATACGTCGTAATTTCACACTGAGGGTGGAAAAAGTTCTGAAATGATTTATCTTGGTTTCATTTTTGTACATCACAAAAACCAGTGACGTTGAGGGAACACCACCAGTCAAATTATTCAAATCAGAAAATGTATTGTGTCATCTTTAGGAAACATCCAGAAATGGCAGATAAAAGTGGCCCTTTTTTTATTTCAGGCACAACCAATTTTAGGAACAAAACGATTACAAAACATAAGTAAAGCAGACTATATGATGAAGAGGCATGTGAAAAAACTACAACGATGAAAGAAATGCCAATTACCAGATCTATCAGATAGTTTAGGTACAGAAAGTGTACCTAGACTACCTGATTAGGAAAGCCAGTAGGCCAACAGAGTACAATATTCATCTACACTAATGTATATCCACCCTGAAAGGGCAGAGAGATATTCATGAAACTGGCACATTTTGGAATGCATTCAAAAATCCTTCATAATTTAGGGTTTGCTATATGCCAAGCTGAGGTGCTCCAGCGGTTTATCGCCACAAACATTATTTGCCCTATATTATTCATGGAAGACTGCATATGCTGGCTCACTAATCTCCCAAATTCAGGACAAAAAAGGAGTGAAACAAATAACGTCAGATAAATAATTTGTCAAATAATAATTACAGTTCAGCCACAAAAAATCACAGGCCCTAAAGGATCAGTTCTTAGTCATATTTCACCCCTCATGCATCACTGCATGGGTTTTTACTGGGTATCTCCTGCAAGAGATGCAATTACCTCTACATTGGGGAAACTAAGAAATGATTGGCTGATCTTTTCACCAAGCACCCTATTGCCATGAGAAATAAAGATAATAATGGAATACTGTTGAATGGCATCCCTGTTAGAACTGCTAGTTGTTACTATGACAGCAAAGAGGGGATAAATCTTGACAGGGAAAGAAATTATCTACACACTTTGGCAGCTCATGGAACTAATGACATTTTGGTTATAAACTGGCACAAATTATGACAGACTTTCATCCAAATGTCCTGTTTCACTGGAATCTTTTTTTTTTTTTTAAATCACACTGCATTTTTACTTCAGGTCATTTTTAGGTTGTTAGATTACTGAATGACAATTTAATCTCAGAATAAGATCAACTTGATTGTGGTAGCATCAAATAGATAAGACATTGTCAACAATTTGTATATTAGGATAATAGGATATTTTCTTATTCTAATTTAATGAATATTTGTTAGTTTGCTAATGTTCCTTTGTGACAATAGTCCAACACACATCATAAATACGAAAAAGTAAGCACGTATATATAATATATAGGGATGGAAAATATATACAGTCCCCTTCGAAAGTATTGGCATGACAAGGCCAATTCTTTTGTTTTTGCTATACACTGTAGACATTTGGATTTGAGATCAAAAGGTGAATATAGGATGATAGACCATAGATCTTTCATTTGCTGATATTTACATCTAGATGTGTTAAACTATTTAGAACATGGCACCTTTGGTAGCAGACCATCCAAATTTTTGGTGAGCAAATTAGAGAATAGGCTTAAAGTAAATTAAAGTAAATAACACTTATTACATGGTAGCATATCCCTTGCTTGCAATTACCGCATCAATCTGGCGACCCACTGACATCACCAAACTGTTGCATTCATCTTCTGTGATGCTTTTTCAGGCTTCTTTCAGTTGTTGTTTTTTTTGGTCTCTTTTCAGTCTCCTCTGAAATGCATGCTCAATTAGGTTAAGGTCTGGTGATTGACTTGGCCAGTCTAAAACCTTCCACTTTCTCCCCCTGATGAAGACCTTTGTTCTGTTGGCATTGTGTTTTGTCTCATTGTCTTGCTGCATGCTGAAGTTCCTCCCAGTTAGATTGGAGGCATTCCTCTGTAAACTGGCAGACACAATATTTCTGTAGACTTCTGAATTCAACTCATGCAATCATCATGAGTTACATCATCAATAAAGATTAGTGAGCCCATTCCAGAAGCAGCTGTGTAAGCCCAAGCCATGACATGACCTCCACTGTGCTTGATGAACTCGTATGTTTTGGCTCATGAGCAGATAATTTCTTTCTCCACACTTTTGCCTTTCTATCACTTTGGAAGAGGTTTGGTTCCAGAGGTTTTGTGGTTCATCTCTGTATTTCTTTGTGAATTCCAATCTGGCCTTCTAATTCTTACTGGTCTCTATATTTCTGCTCTTGAAGTCTTCTTCTAATGGTGGATTGTGATACCTTCACCCCTGCCCTGCGGAGGTTGTTGGAGATGCCAGAGACTGTTATTTCTGGTTTTTCCTCACAGCTCTCACAAGGTCTCTGTCATCATCTGCTGTTCTTTTCCTTGGCCGACCTGTTTAATGTCTGTTTTTTTAGTACAACAGTGGTTTCTTTCTTTTTCAGGACATCCCAAATTGTTGTATTGGCTATGCCCAATGCTTGTGCAATGGCTCCGAGTGATTTTCCCTATTTTCTCAGCTTCAAAATGGCTTGCTTTTCTCCCTTAGACAGTTCTCTGGTCTTCATGTTGGTTTATCCTTTTTAACAACAAATACAGTCTTAACAGGTGAAACCCAGGGCTCAGACAGAGAGTGGACATTCAGAGCTATTAATCATTTAAACAAGCAATCTAACAGGGCACACCTTGGCAACAAGAAACACCTGTCAGTCACATGTTCCAATATATCTGATCACTTGAAAAATGGGTGGGTTTAAACAAAACATGCTCCAATACTTTTGGAGGGGACACTAAATAAGCAGAGCTCAAGATGTCACAGCTGGAAGTGACACACAACTCACTGTTCAGTGTCGGCTCTAGCATATTTTGTTCTCTGTCCCATCACCTCTCCCACATTGCCAATGCAGGCTAATGGACTGAACTTTAGATCAAAGAGGCATGATGTCTTTTATTTATTTGATGTAATAGTTAAATTAATTATCTTGAAAGGACACTGCTACTTTATTTTTGGATTATCTTGAAAGGACATTGCACAACACGGTGTTTTTGTTTTGTTTTTTTTTCCCCCCAAAAGTTATTTGATAACCTGCAATACACTGATATGTGAAACCTATTGAAACATCTTGAAAGGATTTAGACTAATGCTACTATTTATGAGGACAAACCTAACCAACATTAACATACATTAGCTATAACATCAATGTTTTATGAAGACAAATTTCATAGCCTACACATGAACTGTCAAAAATGTGATAATCTATTATTCCAATAAACAGTATGCTCTTATGTAAATGTGTGTTTGCATATGTAGGGTCTATCACAGGTAAGCATATTATAGTTGAGTGCAGAACATTGTTTCCTGGGTGAAAACATGAACAAGAAAAGGTATCTAATGACAATTTTATAACTGATAATGATAAAAACTGAGCACATCTTTACTTACATGAGAAATCAGGAACACAGTTATCTCAAGACCAGGCAAAAACAACAAACTATCAAACATTAACACAACTGTGGACTTTTGCTTGCATAATTTCCTAACATACACTTTTTTTTTTTTTTTTTAACAATTTCTGTTACCTGTAACACTAAAGGAACACCTGTAAACATCTTGTTTAATCATTTTCAGCTAGGGGTATGCAAACTTTCTGTAATATAGAACTTGCAGGCAATTTTATTGCACCTGGGGAGAACATGCATTCATTGAATATGAACTGCAACCTGGCGTTCAAGCTCTCTCTCAGTAAAACAGCAACCCTTTTAGGCCAGCGCATATGTTGCCAATTGTCAGTTTATAATGTGTCTTGTGAAGTGTGTCCATGCCTCTTTTTTGTGCAGAGGCTGCTGATCGGTCAGTTGTATGTGTGGGAGATCATGGTTCCCACTCAGCATTAATCCCAAGAAAATAACAACCACTACCTAAGATCAGTACAGTTGATACTATTTAAATGCAGCTCTGGAGAACAGGAACAGGCAGCAGCTGTATTCATAAAATCTATCAACAGAATGGAAAAATGTGTGCTGACTTTAATGTGTGATTAAAGTCATACTGAATATTTTGCTATGCTCAAGAGAATTTACAAAGATGACAATAATGCTGGATTAATAGGTCCATCTGCTCATTTTGACCATTAAAAAAAGCCATCAACCATTCCTAGCAATTTGGAACAAACTTAAGCAGAAGTGAATTTACTTCCATTAATAACTCAAGTTTTTTTTTTAAATAGCATTTCTACTTTCTATTTGTTAAAAGGATAAATACTCTGGTTTCTTTTTTTTTGGGCAAAATTAAGCTGTTATAAATATTTTATTTACATACCCCTGAATATCTATGAATGGGTCCCTGGAGGACTAGTGGTTAGGCCACAGCGCTCTCGGTGCTGTGGCCCGGGTTAGATTCCCAGGCAGGGATCCAGCCCTAGCCACTGGGGTTGCACAAGACAGTGCACTCCCAGTGCCAGTCCCAAGCCCGGATTAAATCGGGGAGGGTTGTGTCAGGAAGGGCACTTGGCGTAAAAATTGTATCAAATCAAATATGCGGACCCACGATCCGCTGTGGTGACAGGAGCACCCGAAAGAAGACAAACAACCACCAATGTTATATCTCTGAGATTCTTTACACACACACAAAAAAAAAATTCTTAGTAGACAAGGACTGAAAGTGTGATTGATGCGAAGCGACATGATACATATGGGACTCATAACTCTCCCTGCAGGGTCCCAAAGCCATCCCATTACATACATTTACAATTACATTTCTCATTCTAGAAATTATTTACATCTACTTCTAAAAAGTATACCAATATTTAAAGTGGTCTGCTTCACAAACTTAATATTTATCTATATTCTTGATATATTTGGCAGACTTTTTTTTTTTTTTTTGCTCCCCAAAAGTATTTAATGGAACATCCATCCAAAGGACCATCTATAAATCTTTTTTGCCAACAGAAATGTAGTACAAATCATTATTGGTTTATTACAAAACACAGAAAGACATGGGATGTTACAGTGAAAAGGCTCGGACAGTTGCATTTAAAGCACAGGTGGAAATTACAAGACATAAACCTTGGACATGTATCTGCAGTTTACACTGGATGTGAGTGGTGCGTGTCAATATGGGCAGCTCATCGAGTATTTACTGTTGTGCTTTTGTACACTAAATTTGTAATTATAATGTGCAAAGATATTACATAGTGTTTTTAATTAGAAATCTTCCATATACTTCTATATACTGTAACCTGAGTGAAAAAAATAAGCTACAGCCACAATGAATTAATGTGTGTCTCTGCCACGTTTGTCATTTCACTACCATTACGGTGGCATCAATTTATTATTAGCCCTGTGGGAATAGTGTAGTTCATTGTAAATTCATCCCAGCTTTCACATTTAATACTGATTTTTTTCTTAGTGGCTATCTGTGAAAACCTGTGGTATTAATGCTGTCCCTGTTCCCATACAGCTCTCTGTACAAGTGTACCAAAAAACCCCCTTATGGAAAAACTTCAAGTGTCAAGAAAATCATCTTAAAGTGAGTGAGTGAGTGAATGAGAGTAAGTGAATGATTGCATGAGTGTGAATGAGTGAGTAAGTGACAGTGATTGAATGGGTGAGTGAATGAAAGTGAGGGAGAGACAGTGATTGAAAGGATTAGTAAGTGAGTAAGTGAATTAGTCAGAGATTGAGTGAATGAGTGAGTGAGTGGCTGACAGTGATTGAAAGAGTGAGTAAGTGAATTAGAGACTGAGTGAGTGAGTGAGTCAATGAGTGAATGAAAGTGAGGAAGTGAGTGAGTGAGAGTAAGCGAGAGTGAGTGAAGGAGTAAGTGATGGTGACTGAATGGGTGAGTGAGTGAATGAGAGTTAGTGAGTGACTGAATGAATCAGTGATTGAGTGAATGAGTGATACTGAGTGAGGGAGTTTACCCAGATTGTTGCTTGTACGGGCATTAAAATGGGACCTCCAAAATTTGTTGACTGAACACACGGACACATCGTCACTGACCTGTGCACCGAGTCATTATTTGATATGTGCATTTTGCTCTATTTTTTCCTTTTTTTATTTTGGATAAATACATAAACTGTTTGTATAAAATGCCTTTGTAATTTCACTGCTCTGGCAATGCTGTAACTGCTGTAATGCCCATGCCAATGAAGCTCATTCAACTGAATTGAAATGAATTGAATTTATTGAGTTTTTTTTTATGTCAGTTCCATGAGTTGCTTTGCATCTAATAATATAAAGTTGAAAGCTATCAGCATTAAACCCATTTCTCAATCCCAAATCAACATCTTGCAATACAGAATTGCCGGATAGATTCTCAAGGTCTATAATTTTCAACTTGTTCTCTGGGCTTTACAAATTTATGTACGGGTTGAAAATTACAGACCTCGAGAACCTATCCGACATTTAAAAAAAAAAAAAAAAAGAGGTTTAGACATAGTCGTCCTTGCTGAAGATGGATTGAGAACTTTACAACAGTTTTCACAATGCACATGGACAAGAACTCACCCATTGATGTTCTTTGAAGACATCAGAGTAAATTAACACTAAACTGCACTATTACTCTCAGATACAATGAAACAGACACCGTGGTTTGCAGCTTCTTTTTAAAATCAATTTGACCCCTGCTGCTCAGGTTTCACAGTGGGGCTGAATTTCAGTTGCATTAGATGTTGCTTACCATGCAGTTTGAGGGAGAATAATGGAAGACTAATTGCCCACCAGACTATGACCAATCGAGCTGTTGGACGATAGAAAAGATTTCTGACATCAGAAATTTTTGGTTGGTTGACTTTCAGCATGAGCAGGCTCACAAAAGGACTTTATCAAATTCATGGACTGTTTTTCTGCATCCTTGTGCAATAACATTAATAGCATTAAAAATGACACAAAGACAGTGTATTGTATGGGCAAAGCCAGTTTGGTCAAGCTGTTGCAACAATCGTTCCTGTATAATATTTCTACATCATCTACACAACCTGATAAAGAGAGAGAGAGATAGCAGGAGATAGCTACTGTACTTACAACTTCAGATGATCGAGTAACAGTATAACACAGATCAAACGGCACATGCTGAAAGAAAAAAGCTCAAACATGCACTGCTAGTTGTCACCAAAGAACAAGATTTCCAAAAAAGTACATTGTCTACCTGGATTAAGAGGTGTCCATATAGGTGCATGTTCATTTGAGATTCTCATAGCAATATTCCCAAAAGGCTGCCATTTGACAGCAGTTCCAATTTCAGACAGGGCTTGAGATATCTGCTTTATAGCTGTGTCTTAGTTGAAGAGCACAGATTTAAAGCACATATCTCAAGTCCTGTCTGAAATTGGAACTGCTGTCAAATGGCAGCCTTTTGGGAATATTGCTATGAGAATCTCAAATGAACAGAAAAATCATGTCAGCTGGTGTGTAACTACCATAATTGATGATGCATCAAAATAAATTAAAACGTAATGAAATATACGGTGGTGACAATAGTGTTGACATAGATCATTTTACTCTCCTTTCACTATCAATCATATCCATCACTCAAACACACACATACACACAGTTTTAGTAATTTTATGACATTTATTGAAAAAATAAATAAACCTAACCCTAACCTTAGTAATCAAAAGGAAATGTTTTTCAAATAAAAGCTGTAAAAGACTGTATTTTTGTCTGGTTATTGTGAGAACATGAGACACTATCCTCATAAACAGCCACACACACACACACATCTCTTACTATCCTTATGAGGACCTTCCACTGACATTATTATTAATGCAGCCAATTACTCCTATCCTTAGGGAGACATGTGGTACCCACCAAGATATAAAACCACGCCCACATATACACATACATACTAAAAAGTCACCCCTCCAGCAAAAATATAAATTCATTAAACCTTAGGGAATCTATAGAAGACACTGTGTCTATACATGTGTATTGTTCACTCCTCAGAGCAGCCTCTAATCAAAGCTGAGCTGCTGGTTGCAGGAACAGGAAAATGGAATGAAATGTGACTGCTGGCAAAGCTTGTTCTGGTCATGACAAAATCCTCCTCCATGAACTCTGGCTCCGTGTCTAGATATCCACTAAATTATGTTAACGCTGCTCTGCATTTAAGGGCAGCCCAAGCTTCCAGTCTTATCCAATAGTGACAGGGATTCAAGCAACTGTAACTAATGAGAGTTTCATCCATGACCCCATCATAGAGAATTACTCCTGATATTATTGCTTTAGAATTTGAGCGATGGGAGGAGCAACATGAAATGACATCTAGCGAAAAAGTCTACCAGCAACACATACAACCCTATTGGTAGAATGAATAAGATGCTTTTAGCAAGCTGTCCAGTTGTCTATCCTTTATTCATTCTTTTGTTAATTCATTCATTCATTCATTCATTCATTCATTCATTCATTAAGCCCTCAAACCTGGTTAGGGTCATGGTGGATCTGGAGCCTATTCTGGGAACAATGGGTGTGAGGCAGATTACACCCTGGAGGAGATGCCAGTCCATTGCAGGGCAACACACACACACACACACGAGAAATTTAGCATAGTCAGTCCACCTACCAACATGTTTTTGGGAGGTGGGTGGAAACCGGAGAAGCCAGAGGAAACACACACGTAAACAAGTAGAATATGTGAAACTCCACACAGTCAGGATAAAACCAGGGCCCCTGCAGCTATGAGGCAGCAATGCTACCCGCTATACCATTGTGGTGCCTTCCATCCGCTATATTATAATATATTATAACCTAGGCAATAGATGTAATTTTGAAACTTAAATTGCTGTAAATGATTCCTTTAGTTCCATGCCAGCTAACAAAGAACATTATTAAAATGCAATTACAGTAAGTATGTAACAATTTCTTAAAATGGTCCAACATAACATTTAGAACAACAATATTCTCAAAAAATACAGAATATCTGGCTATGCTAAAGCAAAGGGATTTATTTTGGCCCTGCTATAATTGGACATGCTACATTCAAGTAACCCTATATTCTGATGAACAAAAGCTCAATCACAATTTTCGTCTTGATGAATTGAGGGAGGCTGCATCTGGAAGTTGTGCTGATTGAGCTGCACTGTAGAGAAGAACATCAATACTTTGATTTTAGAACTGTTCCCTTGGTAACGACGCTCCATAATGAAATTTAAAAAAAAGCAGGTAAAACTGGCATTTAGACACCGGATGGACTTTTCTAAGCCGAATGTGATTTCAAATGAAATGATCAAAGCTGGTTCACATTCATAAGTAAAGACCAGTTTTCAGCAGAGAAATGTATTCATTTCTACCCAAAGTTCTGTTCAGAGGACCAGCAGCTATACTTGTTTAATGATGTTTCTAGCTTCATAAAGCTGTTTTTTTTTTCCCTTCCTGGTTAAAATGTTGCCTGCCATGACCAGGATGTGAAGATCA